TAATGGTTATGAGGGTATAGGGTATAAGTTAGATGGAGCGTGAAATTTCACTGCAGTAAGAATTTATGTACACTGTATTTGAAACAACCTTTTATAATTTGTTGCTAGAAAACTTTTTTTTTTAATTGTTATAACACTTTCATAGGTATATGTATACAACATAAATTTCATCATTTAGTACAAGTTAACATCCGATTACACATATTCTGTCTTGTCTTAATCATATTTACACAGATCTACTTTTATACACTATGAAAGTTGTTTAGAGAGAAAAAAAAAAATAACAAACATAAACAAAAAGGGGGGGGGGGTCAGCAAAAGAAAAAAAATTATTCTATATTACAAATGATACCAAATGATAAATAATTAAGCTAATTTTTTCTTCTGAATCAAATAGGTAATAGAAAGTATATATATCTGTATTAATTACAGTGCATCACAAATATTTTGTCAATGCCTTTCATATTCCTCATATCTACAACTTTTAAACAACAAAACTTTTTCAATAAAAATTCTATCTGTGATCCCCTTTAGTACAGCATCAACATTTATTTTTGGGACCTTCTTATATTTACTAGCAAAAATAAATTGTTTTACAATAAGTATTAAAAGATTCTGAAACTTATAAACATTCATATTTTCAAATTTACCAAATAGTATTGCTTGTCTATCAAAACTATAATGGATGTTAAACTTATTGAAAATCCATTCTTCAATGGTACACCAGATTTCTTTTACATAAAAACATTCTACAAATAAATGATCGATTGTTTCTATGTCACTTCTGCAGAAAGTTCATGCTGGAGAATCAATCAATTTAAGTCTAAATAGATAATAATTAGTTGGGATGATTCTATGTAATAGTTGAAATCGTAGCCATTGAAATTTAGATTCTTTTGATATTTTAAAAGGAAGTTCAAATATTTTATTCCAGTCTGCTTCACAAAGGGAAACACTGTTTTCTTTCCATTTTTGAGCGAGTTGACTGGCTCTTTCTTTTTACTTATAAATATATTGTACATATATTTACAACCTTTATCGTGTTTATAATACACATAAATGGAATTTGGAATATGTGGTCCAATTGACTTTATATTTTTAATTTCATTATTACATGTATTTATATTTTTCAGTCTATCTAACACTGCAGTCTTAAGACCATTATAATCAATAAAATTTGTTTTCACTTTCAAATTTATTAAGGAGTCAAAACTTATGAAACTACCATCATTGTTAAAGAGGTCAATAAGAAAAACAATGCCTTCATTAAAATAGTTTTTCCAAAAGAAAGATTTATTGTTAATTTTAATCTTTGGATTATTCCATATATGTTCAAAGAGCACATGTCTGTCGTTTTCTTGATTTATCCTAATTAGCCTTGGCCAGCTTGACAGAACTTCTTTCCAAAAAAAAACATTATTTCATCTTATTGAAAGATTCAGAATGTAATCAGAACCCCTTGTCCAAAGATTTTTTATGTCTAGTTTTATTTCAGCTTCAAATAGTTTTACCCAGTTTGCATCTGAGTGAATAAGTCTTCTGATCCAACTTGATTTCAGAGCAGAAATGAATTCTGTATAATCAATCATTTTAAGACCTCCATATTTATAGTCCTGGATTATAACATTTTTCTTTACCTTATGAATTTTGCTACTCCATAAAAAATAATACATTTCTGTCTCAAACATCTTCAAAACTTCTGACTTAGGGTTTGGTAAAGTAAGAATTAAATGGTTTAGTTTAGGTAATATTAAAGTTTTAATTACTGTTAACCTTCCAATTGGGGTAAGTTTCCTCAACCTCCACTTATTTAACAATATTTTGATTTCATTTAGTTTTATGGAATAATTTAAATCAGGCATTTCATCCAAGTTTACTGAAAATTTTACTCCTAGAAGATCAAAATTTGTATTATCACAATTCACCTCGAGTGATGGAATACTTCCCTTGAGAATTTTTTACTTCCGATCCATATCATTTTAGTTTTTAAGAAATTTATTTTTAAACCTGATATATTGGCAAAATAATCTAATTCTCGGAGAATACCATCCATGGATCTTGGTGAACCACCCGAGATAAGAGAGGTATCATCAGCATATTGCGAAAGTTTATACTCATCACCTTCAATTGTTATACCTTTAATATCTTGATTATATCGAATTAAGATTCCAAGAATTTCAGCACATAGCAAAAAGAGATATGGTGAGATTGGATCACCTTGTCTACAGCCTCTTTGGGGGAAAAGATAATCTGAAGTAAATCCATTTTGTATAACACATGATTTAATACCATTATAAAAGGTTCTAAACCAATTTATAAAAGAGGGTCCAAAGTTAAAGAAGTCAAGGGTTTGATATATAAAATTCCAAGAGATTGTATCAAATGCTTTTTCAAAATCAACTAACATCAACAGACCAGGTATTTGATTATATTCTGTATAATGCATTATATCATATATCAGTCTAATATTCTCTCCGATAAATCTACCTTTAATAAAACCAGTTTGGTCTCTGTTTATCAATTTATCCAATTTAGTTTTCATTCGTTTAGCGATGCATTCTGATGCTATTTTATAAACCACATTTAAAGGACTAATGGGTGGCCAATTTTTCAGAAATTGTTTTTCCTTTCCTGCTTTCGGAATACACGTAATGATTCCCAATTTATTTGAATCTGAGAATTGACGTAATTCATTTGAATTATTTATTGCTCTTGTAATAAAGGAGCCAATATCTTTCCAGAAAAAATTGAAAAATTCACACGTAAATCCATCAGGTCCTGGTTTTTTTTTTTTTTTTTTTTTTTTTTTTTCATTTTTCATTTGTTTTAAGAAATCAAAAACTTCAAGATTTGTTTCTGGTCCTTCCAGACTGTTTGATTCCTCTCTACTTAATTTAGGAATATCATATTGTTTAAGTCTTTCATAAAAATTTTCTGACTACATTTTCCCTTTTCTTGTATAAGTTTTCGTAAAAAGCTTTTGTTTCGTTTAAAATCTCAATTTGAGAAGAGACAATTGATCCATTGTCCTTTTCTATTTTAGGTATTTGCTAACTCACATAGTTTCTTGATTCTAAACTAACAAAATGTTTAGAGGGTTTTTCTCCTTCCTCAATCCATTTGACCTTTTTCCTTATGCATTGACCTTTAAATCTTATATTCTTTATTTCTTCTACTTCTCTTTGTTTTTCTTCCAGTTCATTAATTGACTGATCTGTTAAATTCTGTTCTAATTCTAATATTTCTCTTTCCAATTGTTGCTCTCTTTCAATAATTTTCTTTTTTTTTATATGTTGAAAATGAAATTGACTTCCCTCTTACTTCCATTAACAAGATATCAAGAAAGAGTTGATCACTAATGGTAAATTGAATAGCATCATTCTCAAGGCAACTGTTTTTTTTTTCCATATTGTATATTGGGCAGGAATATTGGATTTTAACCTCCTCAATCTTACATTTTATTTGTTCAACATATTCTTTTTCATGTAGCAGAGAATTATTGAATTTCCAGAAACCCTTTCCTTTTTCAAATTCATTTAATTTACAGTGTAGTAGAATTGGAGAATGATCAGAACAGTAACTACTTTCAAACTTTACACAAGGCATCATAGTTAGCATAGACTCAGATATCAGGAAAAAGTCAAGTCTAGCTTGTTTGAGTGGATTTTTTCGTCTCCAGGTAAACCTTTTTAAATTTGGATTATCTTCACGAAATACATCCTTAAGATTTAAAGCATCCCTAAGCTTCATTACTTCAAGTCTTGATTTTGGGTTGTTTAAATTTTTGTAATTCATTGAATCCAAATCCTTATCAAAAACTAAATTAAAATCACCCCCTATCACAATATTTTGGGAAGAGTAAATTTCCTCTATTTTATGAACTAAACTTAAGTAAAAATTAGGTGTGTCAGAGTTTGGACCATAAATATTTATTAGTAAAAAAGAGATATCCTCAATAAAAACATCCAAAATTAGAAAATTACCACCAGTATCCCTATATTCATTGATGATTTTTGAAGCACAGTTATTATTAAAAAGGATAGCAACTCACCTTGAATTGGATTTGAATGAACTAAAAAAAAAGCTTTATATCCCCACTGTGTTCTTATAAAGTTTTCATCTTTTCCCACAAAATGGGTATCTTGTAAAAAATAAACATTATAATTCTTAGGTTTTAACTTCTTAAGCACATCTCTTCTTTTATGAATGTTACCAAGGCCTTGACAGTTTACTGTAAGTATTTTTAGGTTGTTGTTCTTATTATGATCCATAAATATTTTAAATTTATGTATGAAAATATTCCTGACCCCATACAAGACAGAAACAAAAAGATAAATAAAAGATAACAAAAGTGTATATACAGAACTATGTGGATTGTCTGAGAAAACATGCCTTGTTATTTTTGAGAGTAGAAAGTTTATACCAAACACATATAATTGATATTACTAAAGAGTTAACACTGAACACCTTTAAAAAGAATGAAAGTGGGTTTACAGGTGTAGGAAATACAGTATGCAGAGTCTTTTCTATTTGTAGAAAAATATGTGAATTCACCCAGCAAGTTGTGAATTAAAAATTTGTTGATTTTTTTTTTATTCTCTTTCAAGGGAAACCAGTAGTGGTGTATTGTAATCACAACTTGTTTATCTTTTTTTAATAATAAGGTTATGTATCTATATGAAACAAACGAGACAATGCATACAGATCCCTCCGTGTAATGTGACATGTTGAGGGAAAAAAAAACAACTTACATACTGCGTACAGTTTGAGCCAATATATTATCGGGAAAAGCGAGGAGCAAGAACACGAAATAGTATGTTTAAAAAATTACCGGAATATTATAGGTTGGAAAAAAGAATTCCGGAATACTAGACAATCGGTAAACACATATTTTACCTTTTAAATATAGTTAATCTGTAAGATACATTTAGATAAAGGCAAGAACTCGATATTAAGCAGTTCTAAAATCATACATAACACTGGGTTTATTTTTCATGGTGTCAAACTGAAGTTGGTAAATTTTTTACCGCACTGAGGCCTGCTTCTTTAATATGGGAGAACCGACGGGGTCCAATGTTGTTTCCATGCCATCGAGACACAAACACCAGTACGTTGTTAATTTCATTTTCAGCTAGCAGTTTTAGTAATAGTCGTCCTGCCCCATGTTCCCCGTCATCATTTGAACCTTCATGGATTATCCCATCACTGCTTGTGAAACGGTAAGCATAAACGTTATGGCTCGCACTTGGTACGGTTTCGATACGCATGATTTCCACCAGTGATCGTTTGATCTGTTTATAGGAATTGACTTGGGTGGAATGTGCCATAAACCGGTTTCCATTGTCCTCAATTGACTTTCCTGGGTTAACGGTAATCTTGACTGCGTCGCTGGTAATCACCTCGTCTGCCGTGGGGAGAGATCCTACTTTCTCTCTGTAGATTGAATTACTCTGAGTGAAAAAAAAAAGTTTATCCCCCTTTATTTTCGTCTCAGTATTTCGCTCTGCATATTTTCTTTGAATATCATATAACTGTTTTCTTCTTTCCCGTATCTTCTCTGGTTGTTGTTGGGCAATTCTAATGTCCGACTTCTTTTCTTTTAAACTTTTATGTGCTTCATTACAAGATCCTTTTGAGCCTTATCAGCAAATTGCACACAAATCGGTCTAGGAAACTTTCGTTGAGCATCATATTCTCCCATTCGGAAGAGTTTCTGTATTTGTAATTCATCTACTACTGTCTCCTCCATTTCCATCTCCGATATGAATACATTTCTCAGACTTTTTGCTAAGTTTTCTGGCGACTTCCTCTCTGGGGTTTTTTCCTCTAGTCCACTAACAATAATGTTATTTTCCATTGATCTTGACTTGAGATCAACTATTTGGCTACTTTGCGAATTTACGCGGTATTCAAGACGAACTACATAATCTTTGAGTCTGTTCATTTCACGTTCCATTTTTTTCTGGTTATCCTGCAGTTCTGTCACAAGGTATATTGTGTCGTTGGCCTGCTCTTGAACAGTTTCTAGTCTTTCTTGTATACCATTTTTTGCTCTGATTTCTATTGTGATTTCATCTATGTGTCGTCCTTGTCCATCGAGCCGTAACATAAAATTCGCCAAAGTAGTCTGAAAACATTTTGATTAAGCTATGTAGTAGGAAGGAAAATTTTATTAAAGTTAATAAGGCTATGCTATATGAGGAAGATTTTATCAAACACTACCTTCACTGTAGATACTGATTGCTTAAGTTAAAGAATTATTTTTAATTGATCAGAAAAGCTACATGCATGAATGCGGGTAAAGTAACTAGAAAGAATAAAAATATAAATAAATTGAAAGTCTATCTAAACTTTACTAAAATGATATCTGTAATGGCACTGGGAAAGTCAGAGGGTGAAATGAAGCATGTGTGTACAGAGAAGCAAGTAAATTAACCCGAAGGAATAAAAAAATGCATTAAATGTCTATCTATAACATGATATGGATGTGCCACTGAGAAACAGGGAGTGAGATGATGTTTGAGATAATGTTAGTCATAAGAATAAACTTTATATAAAAAGAATCTACATTAAAAGTATTGAAACTACTTAAGATATGCTTATAGGGGAGGGTGGGTTCAAAACACTGTGTTCTTCTACAAAACCCTGGTTCCCTACACACCCCTAAAACTTTTACCTGTAATCCATGCATATTTTGGAATATGATTGGGAGTTTCTTGTAAATGTGCATAAGGTTTGGGAATTTACATGTTCAACCTGGGGGCGCTTGGAAGTAAAATAAAGTTTTCCAACAAAAACCTGATTCTTTGAATTCCCCTTAAATTTTTCACAGTAGCCAACTCATCTTTTTTTTTAATATATATGATTCACTTCGTTTTTTCTTCAACATTTGGTTTCCTGAACTCCTCTTACAATTCTTGGTGTAGCCAACTCATCTTTTTGAATATGAATGGCTTTGATCTGTAGATGTGCAGGCAGTGAGGTTTTGAAATTTAGATTTTCATTCGGCGGGAGGGGGGGGGGGGGGGTAGTGGACAAAACAGGTTTTTTTTTGTTTTTTTTTTTTTTAAAAACCTGGTACCTTGAACTCCTCTTACATTTTTCGAAGTAACCCATTTGGATATTTTTGTAGTTCCCAAACCCTCTTTTTGATTCTGATTGGTGGTATTTTTTAGATGTGCAATAAGGTTTCAGAATTTTGATTTTTTTTTCCCTATCGGCCAAATAAAGGTATTTTATTAAACCAAAAACTCCTCTTACTCCTCTTACATATTTCACAATAGCCTAATCACAATCATAGGATGAGTCTCTGCCATTCAGTTAACCAAATGGTGACTGAAAGTATACTGAAATGTGACTGAATGGCAGAGCTCTACCATTCAGTCATCTTTTCAGCCCTTTCAGTGACCATTCAGCTAAGTGAATGGTAGAGCATCATCCTGTGATTTCGGAATAAATCTAGGAGTGTCTTGTAGATGTGTGTTTGGGTTACGGAATTTCGATTTTCACCCTTGGGGCGACAGGAATCGATCGAAAACCGAGTTTAGGTGAATTATAAAATTATTGCGGCTTCTTCCCTTTTTGCTATATAATTATATGAAGTTGAGTACAGTTAGAGGCAAACAATTACTTGCTGGTATTATGGCTTTATGAAAGCATCTAATTTTTATTAATATTACTTTTTAATTGTCAATTACATTTCCTCGCCAATGACACCCCCACCCACCCCACACTTTAAAAAGTTGCCTTCATGCAATATCAGAGTTAGGTCAGAATCTCTCTCTCTCTCGCTCTCTCTCTCTCACTTAAAATGCTCAATCTAACAGCTGCTGGTTCTAAAGTTTTACAAATAAAAAATGTCATTATAAGAAACAATTGATTTTAATTGATTTCATGTATATTTTTGCATTTCATTGAACATATAAGAAAAATTGAACATTTTAAATAAATGAATGATGTCGAATTTCGATAGTTTTACCTATTTATTTGTCCTCCCTGTAATATAAATCAACTAAAGCGTGTTCACCACTTAATCAATATTACTATTTCTGAGTAGATTTTCAAAATCGAAAGTAGGGTTTTAATTGAAATTCACAGTGATTGCTGATCAAGTATATTTCAAATATAGTTACATGTAAAAGATATCATAAAGAAATATGGAGATAACGAACTGTACCGAAGCTTAAAGTCTATTAAAACAATACAAATCGGGAGCAGAGCAAACGCGGACCTCCAAAAACATCTAAGGTCGGATCGGGTGCCATGGAGATTGGACATCCCCAGCCGACCAGTCACAACCGCCGTCTGCTCCTTTTCATGATCAGGAAATAACGGAAAAATCCGTCGACAATTCAGTGTTAAGTAATGGCCTAACAATAAGTATTAAAAACATAAGTCAGCGTATGACTTAATGATAGATTGTAGTTGCTGACAAGGCTATTGCATCGACCATAGAACGTACGAAATGAAGACTTTAAACGAGACTGTTGTTATTCTTAATTCATCAAATTGTTTGTCAATAACTTACCTCGTTTTAGAAATTGTTTATAACGCTGCTCTTGCATATCGAAACAACTGAGAGATACGAATGATGCAATATTAAAGGTACAAGCAGTAACGCTCGTGCAAGCCTTTCAGCACTTAATGACAAAATTTATTTATTTCTAAGTTTAGATGATTTAGGTCTGTATATAGGGTAAGTCAGGGTAATTTCGACCACCGTTTAATTTCGACCACAGGAACACAACACCACACAAAGATCTACGGAAGTGTTGAGACAAGTTTAAATTATTCGGAATTATAGAAAACTATTCCTCAAATCGTGTGTCCTAGTATAATTATTCATCGCAAATATGGCTTGATCAGAGATATAAATAATATTTTTAACTATCATTTATGTCTCCAGTTTGACGTTCGAAGTCCCCGTCTTCAGTGCGCTTGATTTGATCAAGGAAATGCAAGAGGGACAACTCGTACAACCTCTTTTTAAGTTTAAACTTGTTCAACAGTCTACAGCACGAATTAAATTAAAATTGATTTATTTTTTCTTGGAATATCTTAAAGTTGCAGAATTTTACAAATTTATCTTGGATTTCTCTCAAAATGCACAAGAAACATCCATTTGATTTTGGTCGAAATTACCCCTACTGATTTTAAGGACGCGGGGTAAAATTCGACCACTTATTCTGAAATATGTGTAAGTTGTCTTTAACAGCTGTTTAATGCAATGCAGAGTTAGATCTTCAAAAAAAAAATTATACTGTATATGTACAATATTTTCTACACATAACCTTTTATGTTAAAAAAAAATGTCAGATTATTAAATTAACATATGCATGCTTAGCTATATATATTTTTCGGGCCGTTCACGAGGGTGCATCACTGATCGAGGTGCGAGAAAACACGGAGTCGGCACTGGCTTTGAATTAACACATGACGAGAGCAATCCAAAAGATTCTAAACCCGTCAAATTAACAACAGAGAGGGTGCAGGCAATATTAATTAAATATTTGTATTAAAAAAAAAATCAGGTTTTTGTAATTTTTTTATTATTACGAATGCGTAAACTTTGACGAATAAGACTGAGGCTATCGAAAACCAACGAACCAGTCGTATTAAGATCGTATCACACAGTCCAGGTAAAAAATCCAAATAGTACCCAAAATATCAGAACAACACACCAAAAGAGCCGCAACAATCTTGAAAAAAAAAAGAAAAGAAGAAAAAATCACTATGATGTTACACGAAATATTGGAATGAAATGATTTGTTTGAGTTTTTTTTTTTTTTTTATTTTCGGGGGGGGGGGGGGGGGGGCAGAGGACTTTGCTTCTGTAAATCTTTATTTAATTGACTTGATCGAATTTCTCAGTATCAATCTCTTTTAAGAATTAACAAAACACGTAAAATACGCCGTATATTAACAACGCATTCCAAATGAATGTGTATATGGTAAAAATTAGTGAAGAAAATTAAATATACGCAATTCTAATGCTATGCTCAAACCTTATACATTTATATACAATCTGTTGTGAAAAGACGACATTAAATAAAATCCCTTTTGGGTTGAACAATTTAAAAATCATAACAAAGAAATTATTTGTGAGATCTGAGAAAATTTTATCTATTTGCATAACTATATATCACAATTTTAAATTATAGAGTTGGCGAATTAAAAGCAGAATTTAGAGTAAAGAATAAGAATTAAGATGTCTATAAGACAGCATTGAAAAGCTTATGTTACTCAGCCCCTTTCTTTACTGTATGGATACTAGTACTTATCTATTTTAATCTGTTTACTGAGAGAGATAGAGACGGATACACGTATTTTCTAAATAAGGCAGTATAGTTTCTCGGACCATAAATTTTGAATAAAATGCGACAGGTAAAGTTTACTTGCATTGCAAGAGTTATCTTTCTTTTTGATGTTCGTTGTGGTCGAAATTACCCCGAGGCTGGTCGAAATTAACCCGTGCAACATGCTTACTAATTTTTTAGACCAGTTTGATATTTTTTATGCATTTCTAACTCATAAAGCAGAAAAATATGAGGAAAAATCATTCTTTTGTACTTTGAACTTATTTTAAACTAGTACATTTGAAAACAGTCGTGTTTTGTGGATTGAAAGCCACAAATCAGCAAAAGTGGTCGAAATTACCCCACTCTACCCTATTCAGGTACTTTCATAATATACAAATACTTACGCAGATATAGATAATACTTAACAAGAAGTGGGTGAATGACAATCCCAATCCCTTAATTCCTATAATACACCATATTAGATAAACTACCTATTTAAGTGCGTGTGGTATCTCAAAGATAGAAACAAAACAAATAAATATATAAATTAATTAATAAATTTAAAAAAAAGTTATTTCCATGCTACGCATTTTTATAATTAGAAGCTTTTTTAAATACCTTCAAATAAAGAAGTGGTAGTCACTGATGTTATTATGCACACTGTAAGAGATTATGGTGCACAAGCACATGCTTTAGCTACGTATTTCAAAGAAAATTTAATTACATTTAAATTACTAAATGAACTTTGTACCAAAGTAGGTCTTCAATTGTAGGGTCTCCGGAATAGCGGACATTCAAAATGGCAGACATAAAATCTCCCATCTCCCCAGCCTGGCGCAGTGGTTAGCGCGTTTTTTTCTAGAGTCGTGGAGTAAGGAGTGAATCCTAACGTTTGCAGGACACGAAGGGAAACTGGTCCTTCGGATGAGACCGTATAAGTCGATTTCCATTGTCGCAGTATGTGCAAAAGATCCCTCCATGCTCAATCGCCTTGAGTGCCGAGTATACGTCTATATTTGCAGCGCTCCATCGGCAATTTGTGTTGTCTCCATATGAGTGAAAAATTCTCGAGAAGGACGTTAAACAATAAATAAACATTAATTAGTTGGTTTATGAGTACTAGTAAACAAAAAAAAAAAAAAATAGAAATGGGGTCGAAATGGCTTAACTATGTGGGTAGCTGTGATGAACCTAAAGGAGTAAATCTGTCAAGATAAATATTCTGTGCAAATGCAGAACAGTTTGAGAAAATCTTGAATTCGTCTAAACGAAGACCTGATTTGTCTGAATAGATATCCAATTCACACGATTGAATATTTAACCCGTCCAAACGAATATCTCATTCGTCCAAACGAATTTCTAATTTGTCCAAACAAATATCTATTTCGCCTTA